GCGGCGCGGGCATGCATGTATGCGCTATGCATCACTCACAGCACGTCGCGTCGCGCCACGATGCGGACACCCAATTTCACGCGCCCGCTTGATGCGCGACCTTCAAGATCGATCAACCATACCCTCCAAGATTTAGTCAAGAGTCATCCGTTGTTCAGATTGCAAGGGGTGAAAAAATCCGACTTTGAGATGTCATCCATTGGACCACAATCCGGAACGTTCAATTCAAGGTTGTCTGCAGTGGCACGCGATAATCTTGAATGGGGTTGACGCATCTGCGTGTTCTCTCTTCCCAAACAAGCCTGACCGACCGACCTCGCCTGCTGAAGGCTGTTCGACTCTTGACTCCCGCTTCATCAGTCCCACCTGCCCACTTTGTACGTTGGCCGGACACCTCCGCGTGCAACAAAGTTGATGTACGGCATTCAATGCTGAGTCTGCAGCGCACAGCCGGTATCATGATGGGGTGATTCGAAATTGCTCGGCCACGTCAGCGTCCCACCTACGTTTGCCAGACGCAACAGAAAAGGGGTCCAGGGGCGCGGAATAAGGAGTGAAGGGGCACGAGCACCGAGCCAGATTGATGAGCGTAGTAATCAATGCTGGCACGTCTTGGTTCAGCTTCTCAGATCAAGCTACCTTGATCACAATCTTGCCGACGTGTTTCTGAGATTCGAGATGCTGGTAAGCTTGCACAGCTTGGTCGAAGGGGAAGACTCGATCGATCAGTGGCTTGATTTGGTGAGCCTCAAAGAGACGCTTCGTCGTGGCGAAGAGATAGTATGGCAGGCGTATCAATCAGCCTCTTTCGTCATGCTGACTGTGCTCCCTCGCTGACTCACGTTCATTTCTTCGAAGAGCTCGCGCGATCCGACAATGATGCCGGCCTGGACGACTCGCCGAAAATGAGCATTCCACAGTCAGAGACTTGACGTCTATCAGTAGGTGAAGAGCTGAGCAGACACTCACGTAGATGCCTCTCGAATTACGGATCAGACTTCCAAGATCGCCCTCTGCGCTGCCCTTGGCAATGATGCCGATGGCGCTGACGACACCCCCTGTCAAAGCAAGTCACGTCGGATGAGTACGCGCAGGAGCGTCACTCGCCAGGAAAAGCTTACCAGGGCGGACCGACTCAAAGGCCTTGATGATGGTGCCGCTGCCTCCGACGTCCAGGACGCGAGCGGCGCCAATGCCACCTGAAACACTCTTGGCCGCTTTTGCCCAATCGGGGTCCTGCTCGATTAAGGGGGCCGTCAATTGCCCTTGGTCTCCTTTGGAGCGACCTGCTACCAACTCACCTTGCTGTAATTGTGCAAGTGCAGACGGCTCTGGTGCTCCTGCGGAATACTCTTCTTGACAATGGCGAGCTTCTCGTCGCTGCTCGACGTGATCACAGCGACTGCGCCTGCGGCGAGAGCGATCTGTGCACCAAATACTGAAACACCGCCCGTGCCCTCCAACACTGCCGTCTCGCCGGCTTTGAGAGGGGTGCCAGCCAGCCCAAATAGGGCGTTGTAAGCGGTCAATGCGGCGCAAGGAAGGGTCGAAGCCTCTTCGTAAGACAAATAATCTTTGCATTTTGACAAGGGGACTCTTGATCGTGAGCGTGGTGTGCACTGACTCTTGGTCTCTGGG